GGGGGGTGTGTTTCTCTCCAACTAATGAACTAGCTCCTTGACTCTGCAGACAGCTTATCAGGGTATTGCCTTATTCTGGCCTGGTCTGAAAACAAGACGAGAAAGTGTAATCACTGACCTCAAGCTTTGGGATGGTGGCTATTGAAAAAGGATCAGTTACAATAATAAAACAGACTTCAATGAACAATGGTGAAGGGGTGAGAGGTGGGGCTAACAGGGCAGCTGGGCTGGGAAGAACTGCTTGCCTGCAGCACTAAGGTCTAAGCTGAGACCTGAAGGCTACAGTTGGCCTGAGCAGGACAGGGAGACAGGGAGCCCATGCCAGGGGGAGAAGGGAAGGGAAGGAAGCTCCAGGCCCATGGGACTAAGTACAAAGCCACTAGGAGAGGGAGAGGTGAGGGCCTTGTCTTTCATCTGAGAGCAAAACTTCAGGCTCAGTGCTTTTATTATACATGAGTGTGACTATTCCCCTTCATGCAATAAAGGAAGAGGACAGGAACAAATTTCATTCAAGGCACAGCATTAGCACACACAGCCTGGAGTCTGTCACTGTGGCAATGATTCTACACTAAACTAGACTTAAACTGTTAAATCTAAGTAGTGGCTAGTTGAGGTCCTTTTACTTTACAGATTACTAAACTCAGATTAAATGCTTGGCCCAGAGGTCACCACCAAATAAGTCAGAGTCATGACCCCAACCAACTCCTGGATACCACACAGAATCTTGGAAAGATCATGAGCTCTCAGGTCAATGAAAGTTGGCTTTGCCTCCCTACTCTATCACCAGGATGAGCTTAGGTGGCCCCTTTCAGTTTCCAAGGTGTATTTGGTGTCCTGTCCACAGTTAGTACAATTATCCAATGAGGTTTAAATGCTTTTTGTTAAACCTTAGCACCTCAATCCTTGCAGAGGTTGGTTTAAAATTTGTCTTCCAATCAGCATTTACAGAGGTCAAATACACATTTTGTAATAACTTTTAAAATTTGCTTTTCAAAACATTTGGCTATGACACAGCTATTTCCCAGTTCCAGTGAATATAAAGGAGGCCATTTGCTTAACAAAATGTGGAGATGATGGCATGGACATTGTGTGTTCATTGAAGACGTATAA